GTGACTAGAGACTAGGACTAGAACTAGGACTGGGACTAGGACTAGGACTAGGACTAGGACTAGGACTAGGACTAGGACTAGAACTAAGACTAGGGCTAGGACTAGGACTAGGACGAGGACAAGGACTAGGACTAGGACTAGGACTAGGACTAGGACTAGGACTACGAATAGTATTGGGACTGGGACTAGGAATAGAGCTAGGACTAGGATTTGGACTGGGACTGGAGCTACAACAAGAACTAGGACTAGAACTAGAGCTGGGACTACGACTCTGACTAGGACCAGGACCAGGACTAGGACTAGGACTAGGACAAGAAATGAGGCCAGGACTTGAACTAAGACTAAGAATAGGACTAGGACCAGGACTAGGACTAGGACTGGGACTAGGACTAGGACTAGGACCAGGACTAGGACTAGGACTAGGACTGGGACTGGGACTGGGACTGGGACTAGGACTGGTACCGGGACTAGGACTAGGACTAGGATTAGGACTAGGACTAGGACTAGGACTACGACTAGGACTAGGACTAGGACAAGGACTAGGACTAGGACTAGGACTAGGACTAGGACTAGGACTAGGACTAGGACTAGGACTAGGACTAGGACTAGGACTAGGACTAGGACTAGGACTAGGACAAGGACTAGGACAAGGACTAGGACTAGGACTAGGACTAGGACTAGGACTAGGACTGGGACTAGGACTAGGATTGGGACTGGGACTGGGACTGGGACTGGGACTGGGACTGGGACTGGGACTGGGACTGGGACTGGGACTGGGACTAGGACAAGGACTAGGACTAGGACTAGGATTCGGACTGGGACTAGGACTAGGACTAGGACTAGGACTAAGACTAGGACTAGGACTAGGACAAAGACTAGGACTAGGAGTGGGACTCGGACTCGGACTCGGACCCGGACTAGGACTAGGACTAGGACTCGGACTAGGACTAGGACTAGGACTAGGGCTCGGTCTGGGACTGGGACTGGGACTGGCACTGGGACTCGGACTGGGACTGGGACTGGGACTGGCACTGGGACTACGACTACGACTAGGACTAGGACTAGGACTAGGACTAGGACTAGGACTAGGACTAGGACTAGGACTAGGACTAGGACTAGGACTAGGACTAGGACTAGGACTAGGACTAGGACTAGGACTAGGACTAGGACTAGGACTAGGACTAGGACTAGGACTAGGACTAGGACTAGGACTAGGACAAGGACTAGGACTAGGACTTGGACTGGGACTGGGACTGGGACTGGGACTAGGACTAGGACTATGGACTATGGAAAATGGACTATGGACTATGGACTATGGACTATGGACATGGACATGGACATGGACTAGGACTAGGACTAGGACTAGGACTAGGACTAGGACTAGGACTAGGACTAGGACTAGGACTAGGACTAGGACCAGGACCAGGACTAGGACTAGGACTAGGACTAGGACTAGGACTAGGACTAGGACTAGGACTAGGACTAGAACTAGGACTAGGACTAGGACTAGGACTAGGACTCGGACTGGGACCCGGACTCGGACTAGGACTAGGACTAGGACTAGGACTAGGACTAGGACTAGGACTAGGACTAGGACTAGGACTAGGACTAGGACTTGGACTTGGACTTGGACTGGGACTCGGACTAGGACTAGGACTAGGACTCTGAGTCCAACTAGGACGAGGACGAGGACGAGACCCAGGACAAGGGCCAGGACAAGGACTAGGACTAGGACTAGGACTAGGACTAAGACTAGGACTAGGACTAGGACTAGGACTAGGACTAGGACTGGGCTCCACTATGACTAGGATTAGGACTAGGACTTGGAATAGAAAACGGACAATGACCAGGACCAGCACCAGGACAACTAGGACTAGGGCTGGGACTTCGACTAGGACATGGACTAGGACTGGGACCAGGACTAGAGGACTAGAGGACTAGAGGACTAGAGGACTAGAGGACTAGAGGACTAGAGGACTAGAGGACTAGAGGACTAGAAGACTAGAGGACTAGAGGACTAGAGGACTAGAGGACTAGAGGACTAGAGGACTAGAGGACTAGAGGACTAGAGGACTAGAGGACTAGAGGACTAGAGGACTAGAGGACTAGAGGACTAGAGGACTAAAGGACTAGGACCAGGACCAGGACTATGACTGGCACCAGCACTGGCACAAGGACTAGGAGGGAGGAGGTGGAGGTAACGGTGGCGGTGGTGGAGGAGGAAAGGGAAAGGAGAGGAGAGGACAGGAGATGGGAGGGGAGGGGGGAGAGGGG